AAAGCCTGAGAGAATGTTTTCTCTCCATGTGACTCTCCCTAGGCACACTCTACATTATCAATCACTTTCATCTATTTTCTTTATTCCAGCTATGAACTGTTTAATAGCTTTCTGCTACCTAGTATTTTCTCTCCATTTTGTGACCCTCTCTGTGCCTTGGGAGAGTTAGGAGGGCATTCAGAGATCTTCTATTTCCTTGTTTACCCATTCGCATATGTGTATCTGTGTTTCTCTGTATATATAATACATATATATAATGTATAATATATAGAATAATGTATAATATACAATATACTAATGTATAATTTATAGATAACTATATAATTATATAAATATGGACATTTGTACATTTATTATTGCATATATTTTTATCATTTAATTATTTAATTGTGGTCCCCTCTTGTTTCCCCTTCTTTTTTTAGTGGGAGGTAGCTGTAGGTTGGGGACTGGAGAAGTGAGGAGAGCTTGTGGGTTATATATAGATTTTTAATACGATGTTGTTTCCTGTAAATAATTTTTAGTTTTTTACATTCAGTGCCAGAATTTACTCCTGTTATTTACTATTATTATTGTACTCTGTCCCAGTGTTTCTCCAAAAGAATTACTTCTGCTTATGACAGCACCCACAGATTCAATCTTATATAACTTCTGTATGATAGTCTTTGTAGTAACATTTCTCCCATTTGTCTGTTCTCTATGTGCACTGTGATAGTTTATTATTTGGGGTTGTTCTGCAGTCAGATAGTTGAGGTTCAGTTAGCAGAATAGGTGATTGAATGAGGAGTTTCAGATTCTAAAGATGAGGTTTGAAGAAGGAAATGGTGGCAGGTAAGAAGAAAAGGTTGTTATGGGGTCTGATTTTTTTTTGCAGTACTTTTAGTTGAATTGAAGTGTTCTGGTTACAAAAGTAGCTACAGATTCAATCTTATAATATCTCTATATTATAGTCTTTGCAGTTACACTTTAGCCTTCTAGTATTCTCTTTGTATACTGGAAGATCTGATGGCAATATTCCTCAAACTATTTAATGAAATGGAAAATGAAAGAGTACTTCCAAACCAATTCCTGGAAGCTAGTGTTATTGTGTTTCCAAAACCAGACAAAAATTCAACTAAAAAAGAAAATCACAGACCACTCTCTTTAATGAACTTATTTGCAAAAATTGCCAGCAAGATACTAGCAAACACAATACAGCAAATCATTAAAAAGATTATACATCAAATAATGGAACTTAACAAAAAAAGGGCATACAGATGAATGTCCATTTGGTATCTGTGTATTCAAAGTGGTTAGGATAGATATATAGTTACATTCTCTTAATGAATAGAGGGATTTGTTCTAATGGTGTCTGTAAATAGGACATCAAGTCCGCATCTTGTACAGCAATTAACCACTAGGAAGAATGTATGCAATGTGTTAATTATTGAAACTGTCCTACCAATTTGGTTTGAAACTGTCTCATTGCTATTTGTTTCTCAATAAAATTATGGAAAAAAGAACTTTCCTCCTAGGGATGTAACTGTGGTTCAATATACATAAACAAATATATTCCATAAATAAAATTAAGGGCAAACATCATATGATCATCTCAATAGAGGCAAAAAATGTCCAACAAAATCCGATACCCATTCATGATAAAACCCTATAGAAAATAAGCATAGGAAGATTATATCTCAATATGATAAAAGACATTTAAGACAAACCTACTACCAACATCATATTAAATGGGGAAAAAATTGAAGGCTTTTCCTCTCAAGTCAGGAATAAGACAATACTATGCACTATTGCCAGTATTGTTCAACATAGCACTCAGGCATGTTTAGTTATCTGATCTTTGGTAAAGGAGATGGAGCATATGCTGAAGGAAAGATAGCCTCGTTAATCAATGGTGCTGGGGAAACTGATTATAGATACCCAGATTAAATCTGGAGCCATATTTCTGAAATGCACTAAAATGAAATTAAAATGGATCAAAGACCTAAATGTAAAAACACACACAAAGGTAAGGACTTTCTGAGCACAACTCTGAATCAACAGATAGGATTATATTAAATTAAAATGTTTCTGCATAGCAAAAAAGACAACCAATATATTGCTGAGAGAGCCTACAAAGTGGATAAAATTTGATCAGCTACTCTTCTAAGGACTAATATTCAGAATACATGAAATAATTAAAAAATCAGACCCCTGAAAATAAAAGACTCAATTAAAAACAAGCAGCTGAAATGAATAGACACTTGAGAAGTACAAATGACCAAAAAATACATAAAGATCTTTAATATCCCTGTCCATTAGAGAAATGCAAATCAGAACAACACTGAGATTCAAACTTACTCAAAGTGTTTATCATAAAGAAATCAAACAATAACAAATGCTGACAAGATTGTGTGGGAAAATGAATACTTCTACATTGTTAGTAAGTATGTAAACTAGTACAAGTACTATGGAAATCAATGTGGAGATTCCTCAAAAGTAAAAATGCAAATTCCATTAAACCTTGATATTACCTTTGTACTTATCTTTCTGAACTTGTGAATAACATTATGTTAAATTGATACATACACACCCCTTTTTACAGCAGCATAATTCATAAGAGCTAAATTTTAGAAACATCTACATACCCATAAACAGATGATTTGTTAAAAACTATGATCTTTGTACACAATAAAGCACTACTCTGTAATATAAGGATAAATTTTGATCATTTTTATAAAAAGGATGTACATTGACACTATAATATTAAGTGGAACAAATCAAATATAGAAATTTAAATATCACATGACTTCTTTTATAGGAGAAATACCTTAAAAAGCAAAATAATAAAATAGATGGTAGTAAACAGGGAAATATATGTTTCACGGATGGGAAGGGTCTAGGACAAGGAGGAGAAAGAGAGGAGAAGGTAAGAGGAAGTAAAATGTGTTATGATGTGTTGTGTACATGTACTAACTCCCCACAATAAAAGTAATTATTGTGTACGGCAAGCATGTACTAATAAACATAATAATTAAAGAAGAATGTAAACATAAAGTCCAAAAGGAATATTGCACTAGTACTTAAAATGCATGAAAATCCTCTGGTATGTAACTGTTGTTAAACAGTTTTTAATAATTCAGCTTCAATCCTCCTATTCACTAGTGGTGAGCAACATTGTAAATATAATCAGCCATTAAAAGCTGATGAATTCCTTCCCAAGTTCTAAGGCAACAGCCTGGAAACTCCTTACTGTCATTCTGGAACCTAAATTTGAATATAGGAAACCTTATCCTTTTGGTATTTAATTAAAAGTAAATAAAGAAAGTGTACTGTGAAGATTTTACTAGGAAAGAATGGCAATAGCCTTCAGCTTTTCCATTATGCCTCTCTCTTATTAGTCTACACTGAGAGTAAAGCTCTAACTCTAAGCCAAATATACTTAGCATTCTTTAAATCTTTCTTGATAAAGTAGTGAAAAATTTGTATGCTTTTGGCCTTCTCAGTTAATTCTACAATAGAGACGGAGGACTATTAGGCAGTGTTCATGTTATTTAAAATTAGAAACTTATTGATTAAAACTTGTATTAGATAACTATAGATTCATGCAGTTCCAGAAATTGCACAGCATGTCCCCATGACAGGTCAGTTGTCCCTCATGACAACCTTTTGCAATAAGTATAGTATAACTTTACAAGTGGAAATCAACATTCATACTATCTGCTGGTCTTGATTTCCCACTTTTACTCGCACTCATTCATGAGTCCCGTGTCTTTTTATACAATTGATCTCAGGTATAAGAGCATAGCTTCAGCTTAGCATTTCACTCTTAGGCTTGTCTCATGCATAAATATTTGCATATGTTTACAGAACCACGTACAAAAATATGAATTTCAGTGGATGTGTAGGAGCAAAAGAAATGATAACATTCTTCTTGCATCATTAGGATTATAAGTAAATACTTTTAGCACAATGGGGGTTGCAGTAGTTAATGAATAAAGAATAGCCATGTAAGCTGAAATGGAAAGAACTTCCAGACAAAATAAGTGTAGAATAATATGGTAATTATATTAACTGAAAACATAAAAGGGGTACTTGTGCATATATATGAATACAGGAATACATTTCAAAATATAAAGGATACCCTTCAAGCTTTTAATGATGGTTACCAAATATTTCAACCAAGGACCCACTAATCTAAAAAGTGAGGCTACAACTTTGACATTAAAAGAAAGCCACAAATAAACAATTACATATTTTTACACAGAAATTTAGAAGTCTAGTTTTAAAAAGTTTATTTAAAGAAATCCCCTTTTGATTAAAAAATCCAAATTAATTAATGAAACACACATATAGTTAACCACTGTATGAAGGATATTTTTAAAAATAGTGTAGTTTGAATCTTGAAATAAAAATTGACCTTGATTCTGAAAAAAAAAAGAAATTTAGAAGTCTAACCATATACAGCATTGTAGCAGGACAGTTGTATTACTTCTTTTTCTTATCTCTTGTTTTCATTTATTACCTTTTAAAAAAACCCAAACATTTACTTGAGAGACAGTATAGTAGCATTTGATATGTCATGACAAGCAGTACGCATTTAGAAGACCAGAATGACAGGCATTCCAAGCATGGCCCCAGTATTACACATTGCTATCTTCAGTGCAGTTGCTTAGTTCACAGGTATCAATATATATATGTAGTCAGGGTGAGAATCCTACCAATTAACTGCTAGTTTCAAAAACCTGCTGAAGATTCTTAGGATTCATTTTGTATCTGTATATATAAAATAGTTAGGATAGATATACAGCTACTTTCTCTTGATTCAATAAGAAGAAAGATTTGTACTAATAGTATTTGGACAGGATATCATGCCTGCATCTTGTACTATGTATAACTACTATGAAGACAACAATGTGCAGTGTATTAATTATTGTAACTATCCTACTAACCTGTTTTGAAATTGTCTCATTGCTATTTGTTTCTCAATAAAATTAATTTAAAAACCCCACTGTTATTTCCTCACCTGCTTGAAGAGTAAATCAGAGCCTTCTCCACCAAGGACAGAAAATCTTTTTCCATCTGGAAGGTAGGAGCAATGAGAGTCTCAAGGTGACCATCAGCCTGTACCAGCCCCCATAGATGTCATGGAAAGTGAAAACTGGGAATTGAAAAGCTAGATACACAGAAAGGGCATATATCTTGTATAGGCAAATCAATGAAATCTTAAGAAAATAACATTTGTTTATAATTAACAGTTGAAAGATAACAGCTCTCTTTCTCACCCCATGCCACCCTGTAATTCATTTTTCCAGTTGCAACTGCTCATCATTTATTTCTAAGATAAAACAAAATGTGTGGAGCAAGAGTGTAATGGGACAATTAATAAAATCCTTGCAGCTAAAAGGAAGAATATAGGAATTCTTTCCAAAAAGTGCATTTTTTAACATACAGGCAGATTTTCCCATAAGACACTCCTAACAAAATTGAAACCACATGTGTAGATGACCAAAGCGTGCTGTGCATGTCACTGTGCAAGCAATTTGCAAGGCTGTTTCAAAACCAGCTTTCTCAGCTCTTTGGTGCTGGGGCTAGTTTCAACACCATGAAGCTTCCAAGTAGCAGAGTTCAACAGGGTGAGCAACTTCTAAGCAAAGAGTTGTTTCCTTCACCACCACCCCCCTGCTCCCTTCGTCTTCTAAAAGTTAAAAACTGAATTTCCTTCCTGATAAACTCCAAGGCTTCCTCACTGATTGGTCTCAGATTTGGAAAGGATATGACATCAGTAAGTTAGCAGACTTAAAGCTGGGGGGCTGTTGTGAGCATTGGCCAGACTCCAGCTTGCTGGGTGGTGTGTATTTGTGTGTGTGTGTGTGTGTGTGTGTGTGTGTGCGTGCGCGCGTGTGTGTGTGTGACCACAGGTAGTACTCAGATTACCCTGACTGTACTGTTCTCTGTTGCAGACTGTCTGACCACCACGTGTGTAATTCAGCCAGCCACAGAACAGGAATTTCCCAGGGGCATGAGAAGCACGGAATTTGGACTTTTCTAAACAACTGAAGTAGAGCGTGGAAGTTGCTGGACCAAGAAACATCATGGACAACGACCAAGGAGGCAGGAATACCAGCAAGCCCCTGGGGCTTGGAGGCACTCCTGAGACCAGGAGCCTTTTGCACTCATTTATGAGGGGTGAGTCCTAAGGACTGTGAAATCACAGTGCTGGAGTGAGTCTGTCTGGGGCATGTCCATGCAGCAGTTATGGACAGATGGCCCAGCTTGTTGATGTATATTCTTCACAGAGTTGTTCAGAAATGTGTGCATCTCTATGTTTTTGCAGAGTTCTATAGATGATACAGATTTAAATGTCATAGATAATTATCCAGTAAAAACTTCAGCTCTAAGAAATAATTCTTTGTGGGTCAAATGCATTTATTTACTAAGCTGGAGATTTACAAGTTACTTATAAATAGGAAAATTTTAAGTAGAAGCTCTTTCATTGAAAGCTTTTAGGTATTTGTAATCTGTGTTGGTGCTGGGTTTATAAATAATGTTCAGATATTGAGCACTAATTGATTTAATTTTAAAAAAAGTTGGAGAACTGTCTTACTGCCAGGTGATGTCTTTGCTAAAGTGTGGAGTCCTGCACCTAGGAACAATGTGACTGTCTTGTGAAGATTCGGCAGGTGCTTGCTGGCTGAAAGGATCCTGAAAAATGTGTTTAAGCATTTGAGGATGAGTATTACATTCTTTACGCTACTAAGCTGCCCACAGTACCTCATGGTCAGAGGGACAATAAACAGCAACACTGAAATCAGCTACTATCCAGGTACCAGACAGGGGAAAACAGAAGAGATAAAACATCTTTTCTGCTACTGGTTGAGCAAACAATGCTGCTCATTCACTCACTTATTTATTCAATTTCCCTTGTAAAAAGAGCAAAACACTCAATAATGCGTAGATTTTGACCCACAAAGTCAGAACTGGGTTCATAGGGAGGTATGCTAAACACAAATTTGGAATACTAGGAGAGAAGGGTGATACTAAAAATTACTTTTGGAGAGGAATTTGATAAATATATTTTTAAACAATAGACCAATCACTATGTGAAAGAATCAATAACTTATTGATAGTCACAAAATGCTCTGATAGCTAAGCATTATGCTTAGTTTTGTTTTCACATGGGGTGGCCACTTTTCACAGTTCAGGGAGTCTTCAGGTCTTAATCCAACCCCAGTTGTAGCAGGATGGGTGTGTGGATTTTTTTTTTTTTTGGAACTGGGGATTGAACTCAGGCCCTTGTGCTTGCCAGGGAAGTGCTTATTCCACTGAGCCATCTTCCCAGAACATAAACAAGTTACATCACAAGTAGAATGCAGAGCATCTTATGGAGTCTTGGGACAAGTATGGGGAGACATAGATAGATGATGAAGCATTACAACCTAGTTAGAGGTTTTTAAACGCAGAATTGGCAACCCTTAGTGGCTCTGGAGAGGAGATATGGCAATAACGAAGGGCGTGAGTAAATTAATCTTATAGGCACAGGTGGGATAGGTTGTGGTGGAATTATAGGAGATTACCGCACTAACTTACTCATTCTCAAATTCTCATGCTCCTCAACATCACCCAGAGGTGTTTTCAAAATGCAAATGATGCAACATGTGCTGGAATGGTGAGTCTGTGCTGAGGCCCAGAGCCTTCATTCACAGCAAGCTCCTAAGCAATGCTGATGCTGCTGCTCAGGGGACACACTGGAAACCATGACACTCATCAAGGAATGAAGTGGACATCTGTGTCCAACAGGCAATGACAGAGAAATGGTGATAATTTAAAAGGAAATAGGCTTCAGGTATACTGCTTGATTAAATATGAAAGGTAAAGAGAAAAGGCAGCCAAAATGGTGAAGTCTTCAAGCCTAAATTAATGTTGGGTAGCAGAGCTGGGTAAGAAGTATTTTGGGAAGGACAATAACTCAACTTGTGAGTAGAGTGAAGAAGAGAGGACGTGCGAGTTTTGCTTGGAATTGAAAAATCCCAATAAATGTTTGCCCAAGTACAAAACATGATATAGAACTGGGATTGAAGCCAAGTGCAGGTTGGGAGTTGCTGACCCAGAGTGTTCTGCAGAGGGCCTGTGGTTGAAGCCCATCAAAAGAAGAAATTGTTTTCATAGCCAAGAGCTAATAACCAAGAGTGGAGCCCAAGCTTCTAGTTGAGGACATAGGATCAGTGAGCTGGAGAGAGAAGTGGGAAGAGACTTCAGTTGTAATTCCACAGGGACTAATGGAAAAGAAGTTTTCAAAACACTATAACGGATAGATTGATTCCTAGACACCTCCGCTTTTTCACCGTATCTCATCTACAAACTCCTATTTACCTTCTACATGCAGAAGAGCTACTACTACAACAAAGTGTGACCTAGGCTTTCTCCCTGGTTTTCACTAGTCCTGAACCTTGGGTAAAGCCTTAGGTATAGCTATTTGAATCTGTTTTTGCCTCTGAAGTCTTGATCTTGGTGAAAGGTGGAATATGAAACACTCAAAATACCGCTTCCAAAGGGCTATAATGAGAAACTCAGCTCAGGTGAAGCATGTCCCTGGGTGTAAGGACAAATCTAACAGAAGATAGGACCTAGATTGGATTTACTTTGAGGTTACCATTACCCCTATACCTTCAGGCTTTTTCTTTGCTTCCTTGTCCATAAAGAAGAAAGGAAGCATGGAAGGAAGGATGGATGGATTTGATGATGGGCCATCAATCCTTCATAGAGATTTATGTCATGCTTTACTTTCCTGTCCCAGGAGCCCAGGGGAATAATGTCCTTTCTTTGTTTTACTAGTGCATATTAGTTAAATAGACTAATGGGTTTCTTTCGGCATATTCATGCATGCATATGACATACTTTGATGATTTCCACCCATTCCCCCAAAATATAGCTTGAAATTCCAAATCCCTGTATCTCAAAGCAAGACTTATTTGGAAATATGATCATGTGTATATAATGAGTTTTAAAATGAGGTTATACTGGAGTAGAATAGACACTTACTCCCACATGACTGGTGTTTTTATAAGAAAAGGAGAGGAGATATGCAAGGAAAACACTATGTAGCAACAGAAGCAGAGGTGTCAATAAGCTGAGGAAGATCAAGGTTACTCCAGATTATGGCCAGAAGCTAGAGTAGGTGAGGAAAGACTCTTTCTGGACCCTTTGCTGAGAACGTGGTCCTGTTGACACCTTGATTTTAAAATTCTAGCCTCTAGGACTATAAGAATATGAATTTCTATCATCTTAAGTCACCTAGTATGTGATACTTATTGTAACCCTAGGAAACATTCGCAGCTACTCATAGAAACATTGGGAAAGACATTGAAAGATAAATTAAACACAATAACCCCACTGCCAAGATTATCACAGTTTCCATTCTTAGTGTCTCTTCTTTGAGGTTTGCCTGCAGGCTGTCCTGTAGAGCTATATTCCTCCTTGACAAATTTGAGCCTACCCTATAGAGAGTTTTCATGTTTCAATGGTGACAGGCAAGAACAGGCACTGAAAGGAAACTCTATGGTGGATTTTTAGATAATGGAGCAGCTTAGGAAGGGGAAGTTTTCTGATAGTAACCTGCCTGTTTAAACAGAATGGATGATAATGTGAGGTCCCTATGGAATGGAGAGGCAGAGGCAAAAGCAGAGGGGGAGGGCTAGGGAGAGGGAGACTGGGGAGAGAATTGTAGTGAACAGGAATAACTTGCCTGAGAGTTGTTTCAATGGGCCTTTCACTTTGCCCGTTTCTGATTGGGGCCCTTCATTTATCGTCCTCTTTTTTTTGTTTGTCCTGGAATCAAACCAAGATTCACGGTAATTGTAAACATGGCATTCAGATACTTTCCAGTGTTGGTTTGTGCCACTGAATCCACCCTTATCATATCCTGAAGACTGAAGGCAACCCGACCTCTCTTCTCCTGACCTTACAAAATGTTCCCAAGATAGATAGATTTATGCTACTTCCCAGCATTCACTAGGGCTATCAGAGCCTTGCTAAAAGCTCTTTTCAGAATGTATCAATTAGTGCATTTAAATCTTTCCTGAAATAATGGAAATTTTAGAAATTATTCCAGAAAGTGCAATAAAAATGAAATAGCACGCTCCTTAATGTACTGTAGGTTTGATATAGATAGTTTTCTAAAAGCTAAGTTTAATGGGGCTAATTGGAGGACTTGTAGAATGATTTTGTTATGAGGGCTCCCTGCCCTCATTTCACCTATGAGCTACATTGCTTGACCCATGATGTCACCAGTGACCCCATTTAGCATCCATCTTTTGGCAGCAATAGATGATTGCTAAACAGGTATTTGAGAAATATGGAACAAGTATTAAATGTTAAGAGTTCTTAATACTTGCCCAGGGATTGTATAATGTGTTACATATAATGTAAGGACCCTTGAGTTTCAGACTTTGGTGTAGTCAATGGAAAAGGATATTGTAGACTTGAGTCTCCCCTTCACTGATTGGATGGTCTTTTACTGTGAGCATCATCATATTCTGGCAGGAAAATAGGTCCCATCTCCTGCTTATTTTGCTCTTTTCAGCTGCCAGTTACAGGTGAGGCTGCTTCTGGGTGTAACGTGTATGTGTTCAGCCCATAGCTCATTGACTGCTTGAGGTGTGGGCTCTGGGAAACCCTGGAGAAACACTTACCAGGTCCTGCCAGGCAGACCCCTAATTTTGGGTTTCATGTGGTGCACGTCTCTACTACTTCTTCTGCAGTGTTTTCCATTGCAAAATAGAATGTGCAGAATAATCCATAGTGTAAATTACAGTGTTGGCTAAAGTACACGCATTTGTATATGCATGTGTATACATACACATCTCTGAATGTTAGAAAAATGTTAACCTATCCACTGGCACTGTTGTAATTTTTACAAAATCATTCAGTACTGATATGTTTTAAATTAGGAAGAAAATAGTCAAACACTGCTAATAGGAATATCAAGTAGGGACATTCACATGGACAAATAGTCTAAAAAAAGCCAGACATTGCATTATAATATCATACAGCAATTCTACTTGTGTATACACAACAGAATCCACACCATACATCTATCCAAAACTTGTATATGAATGTTTGCAGCAGCACTATTAATACCCCAAAGGTGGACACAACACAAATATCCACCGAAGGATGAATGAATAAATAAAATACAATCTATCCATATAATGAGTATTTGACCAAAGAGGGGATGAGCCTTGAAACTTACGGCTAAATTAAAGGAGTCCATCACAAAGCAGTACATATAACATGGGTTCATCAATATGAAATAATCAGAATAAGCAAATTTATAAAGACCAAAAGTTGATCAATGGTTGCCAGGGCCTAGGGGAAGTGGAACTGTGCAGTTAATGCTAAGGGGTAGAGGATTTCTTTTTTGGGAGGATGAAAATGTTCTATAATTGATTATGGTATTAGTTGTACAACTCTGTGGATATAATGAAAAGCATTGAATTGTGCACTTTGGGTAAATTGTATGATACGTGAATTATAGCTCAATAGAACTGTTAACTAGCTCACTAGATTCAGATATTAGTATTGTCAGCCTCCTACTGTGTGTACCAGGACAAATTCTATGCTGCTAAAAGACACAGGCTGTTTTTGCTCTGTAAATACTCCATTCTGCTTGGGTGCAGAGCCTCATGTAACCCCTGTTTTTCTCTTAGAGAAATATATAATTCTTTATTTGCTTTAAATAAAAGGAGTAATGATTTCACAAGGAATAAATAGAAATTATAGCTCATTTTTGTCTACATTAATAATATGATTGAAACATTTTTATGAAATCTGAATACAGTTATGATTTAGGACCTAAATTACCTTCCTGGACACTTTAGGCTGCCAACCCTAATAATCTTTAGTAGCTTTAAGAAGGCTTGAGAGTGTGGCCATTCTATTTCCTAGCAGCTGAGCACTTGGAATGAGAACTAGACTAATCGTACACACAGTGATCCATTAGGGTACTCTTCCAAATCTATTTGAAACTCATTTTCAAAATCTTTCTCATTTTTGGGCTTTCCTCTCACTTGAGATTGTGTATGAATGTCATTTTGTATTATTATCACCAACAAGATGTAATTAGCTGTCCATTTAATACTAGTTTGAATATAAATCTTTCCATATCTGTGTAGTCTAAATTTTAGATTTCAGGACCTAGAAGTAGCAGTACTTTTTCCGTGAGAATTAGAAACCTCAGAAAATACTGCAAGGACATTGAAAATCTATTGAGCATAAAGCTTTGGGGGTAGAAACCCCATTTCACTTACAATGCCTTCCCTTAAGACCTCAGTGACCTGGAAGGAGAGCGCTGGCTGAGCAGCACGTGGGCCCATTCAGCTTCCTCCTACCTACTAAATGCTAATGAATCCATCTGGAATGATGATAGTTTGCTCACTGGGACAGATTTTTCAAGGCACTGATGGCTCCAGGTGGTGGATGGCCTCCACCAACACATGTGAAATACATAATGCTCTTCTTTTCTGGCTCGTCCAGTTTGCAGGGAATCAGCAACTGCCCTGGTTCTCCTGGTTTTCTTAGCACTTATGGGCTTCTCTGCAAAGCAAAAGTGTTATGAGATCATTTTGCATCAGTTGTACATTGTGTGTTTATCAAAATAGCTAGAGCTGGTGCTGATGCCAACCCAGGCAAGGCTTCTTCCATTCTGACTTTCTGCATCTGTTTGTTCTAGAAATTAGGTGTAGCATGAAAGAGAAAAGTTGGGCCTGTGTCTCTCTCAGTTAATCCACATGTAATTAGAAAGCAAGAGGAAAGCATTTAATGTGTTGGGGGTTTATAGACTCTTTTCTAAAAGTCTGTATGCCTCCTATATTGTTGTAGACTCATTTACATAGCAATAATTATGGCATATAATAAACACTCTTTGTTGCGAGGGCAAGATAATAATAGCAGCTAATATGTATTGAGCCATGGATACTTATATTTCTGCTCACAGTTAACTAAAAGTGAAACTAAGGGTCATAGTCTATTGTAGGATTAAGTGGGTGTGAATTCAAAGCTTCCCTTTAACCCCATTGGTAAAGTGCCTTTGGGGGTCAATATGGGTAATGACCTTGGTTCAGGGTCCGATTGAACTCTTATTTGCACACAAGTTTGGGATGGGAGGTAATCTATAAATAGACAAGTTTCTATTTAGATTTGATTTCAAACGGAATGGTGTATGTAATTGCATGATTATGTCTATTAGTATATGGTACTCTTTACTAAGGTGCCAAAGTTTGTATTTGATTCAGCTCAACAAATGAATGCCGAGAGTGAGCAAAGTTGTCAATTAAACAGGTCAGTTGCCTTTGACGCCTCTGTGAAAGTGGGAAGCCTGTCTTCTGTGGTCTCGATCTGCCTCTTTCCAAAGCTCTGTACAATTTATTTATTTATTTTTGAATTTTACAAAAATATTTCTGAAAAGCTTTTTACAATTTAAAAGTTTTTAAAACATTTACAATGTAAAAGTTTAAGTTTTAACTTAAAACAAACATATTAATGGGGTCCCATGTGATGGTTTGATACATGTATGTATTATGTAGTGTGTAAATTAGATTAAACAGACCAATCTCCTCAAATATTTACCGTTTTTTTTCCCTGGCAAAAACATTCAGAATCTTTTCTCCTAGCTTTTGGAACTATGCAGTACATTACTGTTATCTGTAGTCTCCCTACTGTACAGTACAACAGAACATTTTGCTTCTACTCAGCAGAAGCCTAACACCTGGTGATCAGCCTGTTCTCCCTGCTCCTTTCCTTTACTCCCTCCATCCTCTGGTAGTCACCCTTCCATGCTCTCCTAGTTTAGCTTCCACATATGGGTAAAATCCTGCAGGATCTGTCTTTCTGTGCCCCTTTTGTTGCCAGTGTGGACACTGGCTGTAGTGCTTCAGCTATCCCGATATTTCAGATAAACCATTCAGACAAAAGATCAATACATGGAAGAAATGCCAAAAATCTGATGGGAATTTTGGTTAAGTGCTTCCTACATCTTCATCTATTATGTTCCTATTGGTGGGCAAGGATGAGTCTCCCATCAGAGCGCATCAGCAGGCTGTAACCTGGTCCTCTTTTTCCACACAGATATTGTTTCTTATTGGTCCCCGGTGCACGAAGCCGCGATCCACGGACGTCTGCTGGTTCTGAGGAACCTCCTGAACCAGGTAGCTCTTTGAAACAGAATGGTACAGCTAAGCACCTCCTCTTGCTACCCCAAACTCAGAAAAAGAAAATCATAGGCTTACAGTAAGATACGAATTTCTTCTTAAGCAAACAACCATTTCTTAATAACCGTTTCCTTCTTTGGAGGCTGATACAATGCCAGAGGTTAGCAAAACTGTTGTCTCAGAATGTAGTACAATTGTAAGCACATAGTAAATATGTTAAATGCATAACTGGTGAGTTAATACATTCAAGTTGCCTGCACTTTGCTTAATAAACTACATTGTTAAACATTATGATGTAAAACTGATTCTCAACTACAGTAATTTCGGCCCCAGGAAACACTTTCAAATGTCTGAAGCTATTGTCCGTTGTTAGGGTTGTCACACTGGGGTGGTAGTCATAATGGCATTAGTGGGCAGAAACTGCTAACTGTCTTACAGTGTGCAAGGCAGCCCTCCTCATAAAAAGACATCTAGCCCCAAATGTCAGCAGAGCTGAGGTTGAAAAGGCCTGCTGTAAAATGAGTACTTCAAAGTATCCTTTTAAATATGTAATCTTGTAATTTCGAACGCATTTTCATTTCTGCTAAATCACTGATTGACCATGGCTTTCCACAGTTTAATTTTAGTTTCTCTCCTCCTCAGGTACATAGTTAATGGAATTGTTCAGGTTTTGAAATTACTGCAAAGCTGCACAAAGTCACTTTTAAGAAAGCAGCTGCAGTCTCCATTCAAAAAAGTTTTTTTTTTCAGAAAGTTCTGCTCTCTAAAACAACAATATACCTGTTAAGTTAGGAGTTCTTAGCTCCCTCTGTTCTATTGACTTCTTTGGCAATCTGCCAAAGTCAAATGGACCCCTTTCTCAAAATAAAGTTTTAAATGCCTAAAATATAACACAGAGGAGACCCATCAAAGTATTAAATGGGTGACATAATAATAGAAGAAGATCTAATGGTGATTCTAATAATAGCAAAATTTCTAAGTATGGTGGGCCTATATTTTGAGATATTTTAGATATCTGCAACAATCATAATGCATTAAAATGTGTGCTTTTTACTGGTGATAGTGCTATAAACCACTTATACTACTGTGATTTGTCATCTAGATTCTTAATTGAAGAAGGTGCAAAATTTTGTGTAGAGGTTGGTGAAAATAGATTAAGAAAGCTTCCTATAAGAAAACGGTTTGTAAAGAAAGCTTTGTACTACCCTAAGCCACTATCTTGAGCTGCTTTTTATGGCAGCAGCCTATTATAAATAGAAATAGAGATTATAACACATAACTCTAGGTAAAATAAGTTGGACTGTTTCTCAGATAAAATGAAATATTTGCCCTATTTTGATAGGGAGAAAAATGATCATTGCAGCTTTTACATATAACTTGCCAAATTTGGACAAATGTTCATCTATGTTCAATATTTATGTGTTTATTGAATGATCACCAGCCAGAACCATGTCTTTAAACTCTGTCACACTATTCAAGTGAGTTGTATTGGGGCCTTGATTTCTGCTCCAAAACTCAGTACAATAATATAGTAGCCATGATTTCCTGCTACTGAGGGTTTGAGTCAGCTGATCTAAGAGAGGGCTTTCCTGAGTTCAGCTCCCAGCAGTAGGATAGATATAGCTGCTGCACGTATATCCCACGTTTCAGGGCTCACTGGTTACCCAAGGCATTTTCTATACTTGACAAAATGCTGGAGAATAGCAAGGAAAAGTTAATCATATGAAAATATAGTAATCCAGTCTTTGCTCATAGCACATTTACTGCTATCATATTGATGAAAGCAAGTCACTTGACCAAATCCAAAGTCAAGGATCAAGGAAATATGTATTGTGTCAACTACAAGATCATAGAAAGGCTATGAATGTGTTATACTACCATAAGAAAGCAAAGACTTGAGACCCTAAATTCAATATAAGTGGGTTAACTGAGTTAATTAACTGCGATAGACAAATTAGCTAATTGTTAGTCCTCACAAAGGGTATCTATTTTCTTATTATAAATATTTTACTAAGACAAATTAGAAAGCATCCAAGTGCTTATAAGACAAAGAGAAAACTATTAGAATCTCTCATTATGTCAAACAAAGGAAAACCAGGAATCATTAGTAGTCATTCTATATCATTGCTTCACATCAAAAAAATCCAGGATAACTTTCAAAAGATAACAATGCCTGAGCCTTACCTCAGATATTCTGATTTAGCGTAGGATAAGACTCATACATTTAATATTTTCTTAAAAACTCTTTCAGAATCACTGACTTCAGGGGTAAGATGAAGTCACTTTGATAGTTTTGGGAAAGACAAGCATTTGACATGGAAGGAATATGGTATGGGAAAAGGAACAAAAGTTGGATTTCTTTAAAATTAATAACTTTGGGTGGGCCAGATAGCTCAGTGGATTTAAAGTCCCTGTAAGCAGGCTGAGAGGTTGGGGGTTTGATCCCAGGGCCTGCCGTACCTGCCCCGAACCCAGGGCGTGCTGAGACAGCAATTGAGACTGGGCGTGGTGGTGCATGCCTGTAATCCCAGCTCTTAGGAGGCTGTAAACAGGCAGATCACTACGAGTCTGATCTAGTAATGAGACCCTGAATACCTTGTAGACCTTTCCCTAGAATACAGAAAGAAAAAATAAAATTAATAACTTTATCAAAAGGTCATGTTAAAAAAGTTGAGGAGGTAACCCATAAGAGTCCTTTCAGTTTTTTTTTTTTTTTTTTTT